GGTAACTGTTGCAAACGCTACCAACGACACGTAAAATAAGAAGGAATTTAAAGTTCTCTCGAGACAAAAATATTGTGAATTGGGACATTGTAATATGTCTTTTTATCCATCTGTCTGTGTCTCAAGTAAAACGTGATACCAAAGATATTGTGCTGCATTTCTATGAAGGAGTCAGAACTGCCCACGGGTGCACAGAGGTTTTCTCTAGTAGGTTAGCTGAGTGATGATATTTCAGTGGAAGTACTAGGAATAGCATCATTAGTTGTTTTCAAACAAATAGTCGCAGCTTGACAAACACAGCATAAAATGGGCGCGAGTGGACGGCGCGGTGTAACCGCTGGTTACCGGATTCAAAGTAAGCCGCTGCGCAGAGTATGAATCAACAATGGTTTGCTTCTTTAATATTATTATCGACGTCATTCGCAACTTTTATGTATTCATCTACCCCTGTAAAATTGTTCGAGCCAGCCAATCACTATGTAACACACACAAACATATATTCTCAATTACGAAAAACAGGACTCGTGTGTATGGTGCTACCAGTGCATGCCACTTGTGCTTTTAACCATCAATTTTCTTTTCGACTCTAGTAGGTGTTTTAATAGGAAAATCCTGTAATCCTAAGGATTGAGTCAGTCCTTCAGTCTTTATCTTTGCAGCTACTCTTTAAACAGATGTAGTATCTACTTTTGGGGGCGAAGAGAGGGGGCGGTGGTACTTCAAAATGAAGTATAAACTTGGCAGCTAGTGGCACCCATCTGTACCTAAATACATATGCCCGTGCGTATGTATATAGCTGATAAAAGCTGCCCACTCCCGTTAAGCGATCTTCTTTTCAGTTGAGGAGACATTATTCAAGAAAGATTAATTCAGCTTCCTAGTATATTCAGTAGAATACTACCGATCTTTTGATAAGGACAAACATACTATTCAATACGTTTAAATTAAAAGATATTTTTTTCTGCTATATTATATGAATGTCGGCGTCACTGAGTTCACAGTTATCGTTCGCATAATTATTATTATTATTATTGTTATTGCTAAATTATTTTACAACATATAATGTACATATCGGTGTGCATATACGGATGTTTGAAAAGTTTGGTATAAGTATACCTCATAGTTGGACAATTTGTTCTAATATTCCTTAGCCTTTAATCGTATAGGATGGTCGTTGAAACACATAGTCGACTATCGAGAGTAATCTTCGAAGAGATCTTCAAATTAATAACCGAGAGGTACAACCACAACAACACAGAATTTCTGAAATAAGCACATTCACAGGTGCAGATTACAAGTGTAGCAATAACATTGCTTTGGAGTATCTTTCCTACACAACATCTAGTGATATCATGAAGAGCATTGGCGGTACCTGTTGTACCACTACAGCCATCATCGTTATGAAGAATACAAACAACAACAGCAGCAGCGTTGTGGTCGATGTCTGCAAAGTTTTCGTAGTGCTTCGATATTGTGTGCTCTTTAAATTGGTACATTATGTACGTCGTTACGCCCACATGACTAAAACTAAAGCCAATGTGGTGAGAAAACAAAGAAGCGAGAAAAATTATTTCAAACTAGGTTTATTCGCTTGAGCTGTGATCCTCGGTCGTCACCAACAGGCTTTCATTCTACCGCAGCGAGCTTTAATCAGTCACTGCGTCGTACGCGCAGTGATATTTTTTTTTGCTGACATGTAAACATCTTCTACTCTTAGTAATAATAATAACTCGCGTCCTACAGTCGTTCTAAAAAGACGAACACGAGGACGACGAACAGGCATCTCGCATGGCTCGATACTCCTACAACTCGACCCTATCGTAACGCCGACGCGTCGGCCATCGATCTCAAATGATGAGAATCCACGGCAGAAAAGGATTTTCTATCAGCGCGAGTACTATTCCCTATTCGGTGCCATTCGAGTGTCTTGCAAAAGGGCGCTTCATCGTGAAAATGCGAGGCATAAAAGTAGACGAAAAACTTTTGGCAGAAATAAAAGAATAGAGTGTTTGACGAAAATAAGAAAGAGGACTCACATTCAACTGAACGGTTTCGGGTGGGTTTCTGTCATCTCCACTAGCTCACATTCCTGGTAGATTATCATAAGTATAAAAAAAACCTTTCTTATTCTACTACACTGATAAACATCAGGCCTATAGGCTATCGACCGAATAATGCGAGATATTAATTTGCTTACCTAGCTAATGGCTTCATTCTGACGGCTAAGGCTTGACTAATACAGAAACCCGCTCCTCCGGTGGCGAACCAAAATGAGACGGGTCTCCCTGTTGTCACTCCACGGCCAAGGCCCTCCGACAACCCCGTCATACTCAAACGAAAGCTACGTGGGCCAGATATGTCAAGGGGATCCTTAATTGATGTTTTGCCCAAGTACCATTCTTCGCGATAGTCGAACTCCTGTAGATTCCTGATTAATTGGGGCACATTCACGTAGTTGTCATCGTCAAAATGACACCACCACCTGATAGTTTTCGGAAAAATCAATAGAACGAACATGTATCAAATCAGTTTAATATGTATTACGACAAAGCGAATACAACCATAGAGAGTATTGAGCAGTAAAGTGTGTAGTAAAAAAACAATCGAAATGTAAAAAAAAAACAATATACTTACTTTTTGCGACTTTCAAGATACCTGTCGAATTCTGCTGCCATCTTACAACACAGAGCGCGACGATTGTGTGAAGGCGGACAGCGTGTGTTGATGAGGTGATTATCTGCAGGTTATATTAAAGATCTTTTAACAGATTAACACACATGTAGATACTTTGATTGGTTACTTACCTAACTAACCCGTTCGATTTCAGATTTTACTTTAGAACTTAGCTGTACTGCTTTTACTCTCCGAGCGATGATCTGCTCACACCAATACATGAAGCGCCCCCTAGCCACCGCCCATTCACAAAAGCATCGCCACATTAGAACGATTATGTAGGCCAAATTAATTCCATATATTTGATCCACTGGTGCCTGATCTTAGTCATAATCTCTCAGCTTTGAACTGTAGCCTCCATTAGTGGATCCCATAAATGTTCACAGAATATTTTTAGTGAAATACGGACTCCACTACTAAACAACTGTAACGTGTATATTGTATAATACTATATTTGCAGTAGTTACTCAAGTCTTTATCAAAATCTTATCTTGGCATGTTCTTAACCCAGAGCGCGTTCTCAGAACAAAAGGTACCCAATAGTCGGGAATATCAGAATAAACAGTGCGCCGGAAGCCTTAGTCATCGGCGTCTATTGCCTACGTTTACGCTTTTTCTCAAGCAAGCAATGGGTAAAACACCTTCAACCAAGAGACAACTGAAATGGCACGCCGCTACGGCGAACGTTTAAAGCAGACATTGTTTGATGCGTGTTCGATTTCTCCTTGACGTATTCAATATTGAAAACTGGCATCACAGTCAGCGCGTATCGCCCGTTAAGAAAAGATATCTGTGAGAACGATCAGCTACCGCAATAAGTAAATAAGGGAGGTCATGCTTTCAAGTATAACGAATCGAGGTATAACAAAGCTTGGAAAAGTATCTCAACATTTGTATATTAGATGATAACAAACGCCCGGATAGACAAGAGAATCGTTGTATGAACTTTAAACGTTTGGCATTTCGTATCAAAGCGAAATACGTTAGCGGGGTGGCAAGGCTGCTATTTTAAGTCAGTTTGACCTGAGTCACAAGCTTTTAATCCGAATACAAGCCGAAACGATTTTTCGTAGATTTGTGTCTTCAAAAAGTAAACTTCCATACCTTAATTAAGGCTTAGAACTCAGAAAAGAAAAAAAAATTTCCTGTGAGACAAAAAAATGCTACCATTTTTTAGCAATGACGGACGGACACGCCGAGGTTGGGCGGCCGCAAGCTTCTGCACCTCACGGATTCCCTGGCAGTAGCAGCAAAGGAGGTCAGAAAACTTAAGAGCTGGAAGCTGTAATGGGCTCCGAGCACTAGAGAGTCGGCTAAAAAACTAAAACGTCTTTTTATAAGTTCGGTATATTGGCGTACTTACAAGTTTTTTGGCTAAATTCTTCGTCGTCCTCGTCCGTAAAGAAGTACGTCTGAAAAGAGAGTCAATACACATGAAGGAGATATTAGATGGTGTTACCAATTGCAAAATAAAGCTAAATAAAAGTGATTCAATTCCGTGTATGTTTCGTAGCATATCTGACTAATGTTGAAAATCGACAATGCAAAAAAGACGCAGGAAACCGTCTCAACCCGAATTTTTCTCGAGCAAATAGACCCAAACGAGCAAACCATTGTAAGTTCGAATATGCGTATATGTAGTATAAAAGATGATGGATGCAGGACGAAACTAAGAAGTCAATTTTCATGACATTGCCTTCTCTGAATGACATAAATATAGGACTAAGTGAATGCGCTTTCAATAGAAACTGAAGCAATAATAATTCTTCAACGGTTCTCAAAAAGGGCACCACTACAATTTGTCGGATCGAAGAGGAGGGCAAAGATGACGAGGAGAGATTTTGCTTGATTTTCAACAAAGACCTCATTCAAGGAAGCAGGCAAGCCCTCAGAGGTAGAGCTTCAGGCGGACCTGGTGGCAGATAGTTGCTTGTATGCGAAAACAACGACGGCAACAACGACGACTGCTGCCTCGTGCGCTCCCTGCCGTCAGACCGGTAGCAATTTTAACAACCGCGGCAGTGTTTCGAATGAGGTAGGTCTATCCTCTCACTTTAAGCGGCGCGGTAAGCACAGAATGTTTTCAAATACCGACCACACGGATGTTTGTGTCCGTTTGCTGCGTATTGGCAGCGTTTAAATTTCGGCTACATATATTTGCCTCTAACTGGCTACATGATTAGAGATAGACGGGGCTGGTAAGGAGCTCGATTTTACATTGCATTGCCCATAAAGGTGTTTGAGATTTACTAGTAAGTTTGAATACCTTTTTAGGTTACGCAGATTTATTGTTCATAACGGGTTCAAAGGGCAGTAGAATTTTTATTCTTTGTGATAAAACCGAGGTAAACATATAATGTGTAAAACTCGTTCAGTGAAAAATCACAAATAGCGCAAAATTCAAATCAAGACTGTCGCACTACGTAGAGGCTCTTTTGAGCCATATATATATATATATATATTCGAATTTCATCTTTGCCGCAGAATTGAAATTCCCGCTGAAAACGCATTCACAAGTCGAGATGCGCATTTTCAGCTTTACACTTCTACTGACACAAGGCCTCCCGACGTAACCTAAGCAGGCCAGACGCATTCAACGGTTGGACATATCTTCAGTTTATGAATTTTAGCATGAGTCGGCTATTGGTCCAAGGAGGCAGCTGCCCAAGGCGTATGCCGGAGAAACCGCTGAACGACCGTCATATGTTAGGTTCCCGCATACATAGGTCCAGCGTAAAGTTCGTGACCGAAAATAGTTTCGCGGAGAAACGAGCGTATATTCTAATCGTTGTTTATTTGTTGCAGCTGATATAAAGCTATGGCAGAATACAGGCGACAACGTTTGTATGGGGTTTACTGATCGTCATATGTTTTTCACGTTTAAGTAGGCAGCACTTTGTAATCTCCGTTGCTGAACTGTTACGGTAGAAGCACTGAGAAGAAGTATGAAAAGTAGGCAAACCTGAATGTTAATTGGAAAATATTTGTCTAGCGGTGTTGAACCTTCCGTAGCAGCATCCTTACAATCGTACAACCCACGTCTTATATAATAACGCTATAGCCACTAAACACGTCCAGTAAAAAAGAAATTGAATCAGTCTCGGCAAACCGATAAAGACGCGTACGTTTGTGATGATTGGCATGGTATCCTTGGTAAAGCAGTTAAATATTAAATAATAACAATCTGGGTGACGGTTCCGCAATTCGGAGAGACGAGTCAAGGTATTTAAAGGAAATCTTTTTTCAGTTTTGCATTGTTCGCAATACGATAATATCCTCACACTTCAGGTCAAGACGTGCTGTTATTCTTTTTATTATAAAATGTACGGCTGAATACTGGATACGCGAAACCTCGGACGACAGTTGAAATAAAGTATGCTTCTTTTAAGCATGGGGCGCAAAAGATTGTGCTGTTTTGTTGTTGTTGCATCAGTAAAACTCGAAAAGGACGGTTCTCTTTTGAAAAAGAACGAAGGCTTGTCAACTTACGGGTTAGGCAGTCAGACCTAGCAACTTAGGACGAAGTGGCACGACGCAGCTTCTTGTCCGGCTAGTTGTGGAACAGGCGGACGACAAACTAAGTAACCGATCTTCCCGCTTAGCCCTCTCTATTACATTCAGTATGTAGCCTTATTCTCCCAGAAATCAATGCCCCTCAAAGCGCATCTTCTTAACCATTGAGGATAGAAGGCCATGATCAGATGATAGTTCTCAGGGGAGTTTCAATATTTGACCTTCTCTCTCATTGTAACGTTTGATGATAATTAATTTAGGCACACGTTATCACCTATGTTATTATTATTGCATATTACAGTTTCGATAGAGCTCCTCCAGCCATAATAAGCCATTCCACAATATCGATAAATCATTATTAATATGTTTTTTTTTCCTTGAAACCCATCACAGCCCAAGCCTTCTCAATAAATTCTAAGATAAAAATAATCGGTCCAACGACTCCACATCCGTAAATGTTAGCGCAGCAAACAACCCAGTTACAAAAGATACGAGATCGAAGCAGATGAACCAGCACGTATCGTAATCACGACATATACGCGTATCTGCTGAAGCGTACTATCCTTTTATATTCTATTCATATTATCCTGCATGTTTTACGACAGGGCATTTTCTATTCGCAACGCTTTTTGCGTACAATTTGCATCCACGAAACGTCGATCCAACAGCAGGAATATGCAGACGCCGAGTCAAAATCGACTTGAAATACAAAGGATGCAATCTGTCTAAGCGGCGCGGCGTGTTGATGGGGTGTGTCTCCTTCAAGCAGTGATTAATGTTTGCGGATAAAATAAAAAAAAAAATGATAATAACAACAACAGCCTCCCGATATCGTCATATAGTTTTGTTAATGGTCGCTTTGAAGCATCGTCGTAGACTAACTAGGCGCACGTTTCTCTTCAAACTGATCAATCATTCTAATCGATGATCAAAGCAGATGACTGATTTGTGTGCTTCAGCTCTAGTAGCAGATGCTCATTGTTTTTTTTTACTGTTTCTTGGTCCATCTAGATATGATGTGATATACGACGACACTGCTTGATCAAATACTCATTGTTGGCCTTAGTATTTCTCTTATCCTTAGCTGGAAAACCGGCAGAAGACGGCCAGCAAGGAAAAAGGACAACTGACATTTTGTTTTGTCATCACTGACCAATGCGAAATGTTACGCGCGCAAATATTAAGCGGTAATGAGTTCAGAAGCAAGGCGGGTCGATGCGTCCTCGTTTTTGTAGGCTATTCATTAACAACTGGTAGACGACTGTATACGAAAGTAGTGTATACGTGTTAATTACTCGATTGCGATACATCTTTAGGCCACAATGTACTTATCCAGATTAAAGATGTCATTTCTCTGGTACCGACATAGTTCTAAATACATCTGTGACAAAATTGAAAGTGATTTATTTATTATCTTAGATCAATGTATAAAGTTATGTTGACAATCGTCTTGAAAAGAATAGGAAATGAAAGAAAGAGAAAAGTACATATGGTTCTGAAATAATTAAACGAACGAAAAAAACAAGACTACTACCTGATCTCTTGCGAGTCTAAACCATGTCTTGAGAATGACATCTAGCCTCTCCCGATGAAACTTCTTTGTCGTCTTGACGGAAATGAACAAATCTTCAAGGGCTAATAATGGCTCTGAAAGAGGTTCAGTACTGGTCGGCACCTGAAGCTTCTTGGCGGCCTGCACAATATGTTCTTTTCTCGAAATGGTCACTGCCGCCTTTTTTGGCACTACGATACTGTTTAAAGGTATTGCTTCACGGAGTGGAAACTCCGCTACGGAATCCTCGTCGAGAAACGAAAGGCTAAGTGTTTCAGGCCGTCCGTGTGAGTCCACCTGAGCGGGCCGATTACTATCGTTAACAATAGTAATATGCGGCCATGCTAGTAAAAGTAACATATAAAAGCATACACCAGCACAAATGGCCACTGCCTGCAGCAAACTGCGCCGATTTTGACTAGCAGTATTAACGAGCTTGACTGGGAGCTTGTCACCGTCGGACGCAACGAACCATGACGTAACGGTATCCATTATTGTAGCGTTATTCACTGCTACCGCCATGTTCCGTAGTCACTGGAACGTATCAAAGGACGTCCCTTTACGAACGTCCTTCTGTAGCGGAGCACACGTTTGAAATTCACAGACGCGTCACAAACAGAAACTTTTCTTTACATAATGACACACTTCTGAATAGTTGACCTGACACTGTTATCCTCCACATTGTTGTTCATTTATGGCATTACTTATCTGATGGTAAATTTACGACGAGGATCAGTTGCTCATCCCGTTGCGTTCAACATTTACACCAGTCGTCATGGGCAACTCCCGCACTATTTAAAAAATGCCTAGTTCAACAAGGAAGTCGGAGCTAGCAGTGGGACTTAGTATACCGAAAGGAAGAAGGTTGCAGTCAGCCACAATCAGTCGATTTGTACGGCCATAGTCGTGCGACTGAAGCAGGATTTGTATCACAAGCGTCTCAAAGCTTGCTTCGCGGCGAATCACCCCCAACACCTTTTTGAATAGTCGGTCGCTCACTTGCCCGGGGTTGATAGCGATTCAGTTTTAGTATTTGGTTGGTTCAAGAACCAAGAAGAAGACATGGGAAAGGGCAGCGCCTCCACCTCCTCGTTTCATTCTAACGGCGGCCACTGCAGCCGCGATCTTTTCCTCGTGTTGTTCATTCGTTTGTTGGCTCCTTCGAGCTAGAAGAAGATAATAATGGTAGCTGCTTCTGCCACCGCAGGAAGACTCGTCGCGCTTTTCGGCCTCGTTTTTCTCTTTCGGTAGCCACATTTTCTGATGACTAGACCCAGTCTCGGGTTAAGCGCGCACTCTCCATGGATAGTTTCAGTAGGTGGGTTATGTTTTGAGGCGAAGGAAGCGATTCGCTGTCCACCTATATAGTAGAAGAAGAAGAAGAAGAAAGCAGTTAGGTGGGCACAGAAAGCTCTAGGAGGTATTCTTAGGAATCACCAGGTAGACCGGCGTGTCGGATAGCGCTGATCGTTGTTCTTGGTCAACAAAGACACCCGGGGGCTAGGGGTTAGTATGCGTAGGGGAAAGCGCGGAATGTGCCAACTCTTAGGCCAAATCACCAAAATTCTGTGGGGCGACCAGCCGGTGGAGAGGGTGGCACTGGAGGCCAGATACTAGCGAACACGTCGGCCTTGGCTCGCAGCAACCTCCCCCCCCCCCCCCGTTCGTCGCCTAATAATAAGGTGCTCATTGCTCGAATCGTTGTTGGTTGCTGTAGAAGTTTGACCGCTAGCCCGACATGAAATTGCTTGTTCCGTTCTCGTGCAATCGATAGACCTATTACTCGCTACTCCGAGCGTTGACCAACAAGTCCTCTGACCTGTATGAAACGGCTAGGACAGCTAAGGCCTACGTTGTAGGTAGGAGTTGTGAAGATTCAACAGGACTGGCAGAAATAAAAAGCTCTTGTCGTAGTGGAAGAATCGCGAATTCATCGAAGCAATCCATTGCCTTCGATGGGCGCCGAAGGTTTGAATTTCGCCGCATAAAATCAAACTATAAGGGATTACTGCTATGGCAGAAATTCGGTTTTTACCTATAACAAGTTGAGACATAGGCTATTTTCTGTAAACCTGCAGAGAATCGAATTCGTATGCATTTTTGCTACAGAACCAAGTTACGTTCAGACTCGTTTTGTTCACATTCTGGATTTCAGTTGATACCCTACTGATTCTCTAATTTTGCTTTTGTTATAGACAAGTAATTGTAAGTTCATGGATCCCTCATGGAAGAAAATATAGAGTCTGATGGGTAGATCCAAACACGCAACGACTAATATCTGTATTTCTACGGAGTATTATTAAGGGCGTGTTTTGAATTCGTGCGGGCATGTCTGTCACAATGGTTTAACGATTGCCCTTCGCGCTGCTCGAGCCAATTCGCTGTTTAAGCTTGTGCTCAGGTGGCCGGTTCAGGCATTCAATATCGTCGCTAGCCCTTTTCGATAGACAGACACTTTGGTCAAAAAAAGGAAGTTAAACATTTGTGAAGCGTTTGTTCTTACACATATGTATATAGCCCAAATAGAAAAAGTTGTGGTTGTCGCATTCGGGCTCTGGGACTGGACAACAAAACAGTAGGTCGAAGATATATGTAATTTTGATACAGCCATGGCGTACAGCTGTGTTTAAATGTTGTAAATTTAAATTCATGCCGAAAATGTAAAGGATTGCTACAAACAAGCTGAGGTTATCTCTAATTCTAAAATACTGAAAAACCTTAATATTGTGTTGCCCATAATATTATTATACGTTAAAACTTCCCTGATTTCTAATACAAAATAACATTGAAATTTATCCAGTGAAGAGTTTCTCATGTCATATACCCATATATATTATTCTGTATAACTGCAAAACTTAAGAAAAATGAAAACGGTAAATTATCAATAGAGCTCATTAAAGGTAGGTATACGATGTTGATATAATATCCTATTCTTATTCAAGTATAAGCAGTAGACAAATCTCATGATATAATTCTCAGATGTCGTCTATGATTTAAGAGTTTTTTTTTTATAACTTTTAAATTTTACTGTTAAACTTCGCAGATCGTAATGTCAGTACGTTCCATTGCTAATTCTGTTTTTGTCTTTATCTCAATGATCGTGTGCTTCTTATCCTTGAAATGAAATTTAGCTGTTTACAGAAATGTTATTATTTTGCCTAAATGAGTATTTGAAATAAAGATCGATACTGACTCAGGTTTCATTTCTTGATTTATAAGCTTCATAAAGGACTGCTTCAGGTGGAAGGACCTCAGTCGCAGCTCTTGATTAAGACAAAAAGACGCAATTTCAAGGGTTCTTTCTTGACTAACTCTTTGTCTAAGGTACACACAGTTTTCGGCTTTCTGAATACTGTTACCGAAACAGCAAAGTGTGTGTCTTTTGCGTCGGAGCTGCGCGACCTTAAAGCCCTGTCTTCCCGGCACTGATCTAATTTTTTTCAATCTTCAGACGAGCTATCGGCTGAAACGATGCAGACGAGCAGCGATAATTAAAAATAGCCAGAAATGATTGCCAAAGAGCATAAAGTACAATTTTAAAGTGCAAACAGTGAAAAGTAAAAAAAAAAATTAGAATATATAGTGTGATCTGTGGACCTTGCACCAGTTAACTGCTGAGGTTTCAGTGATGACTGATCTTTTTCTGGCTATTTTAGGTATTTTTGTGTTTAGTCTATTTATATTAAATATATATACATTTTTTTTATCAGTCTTGTGTATCTGCCCATCTGAATAACGTTATTGGTTGCCAAAAATGGTCCTGTTTTTATCGTGTGGAGCTTTTATTATTATTATTCAGTTGTTACTTATTCTTGAGGCAATCGAATTCAACGGGCTCACGGAGTTATGTGAATTCTATAACGGCTTTCCTAAATGTTAATCCTACAGCGGTTGGATAACAGGAACTGTTGTCTCTCAAAAGTGATATCTCTCAATGATTACGACCACAACCCAGTCTTTAAGACCATTCGGTCACCATTTTGAGCAATTGTCAATATATTTTATGAAGCCTCGTCGAATTGGTCATTTAAAGCAGTTACAACGATTTTAGAGGACCTAATCCACTATACGTGTGCCTCTGCCGTAACATAAGGCACCCCTACCTGAGAAGCAAAAACAAAAATCTGTAGAAGGAAGCGCTTGTTAATTGTATGAAAGACGTCGGTAGCACGGTGTTCGCTATCGGCTAGAGACACTATCACAATACTGAGAAAGGGTTCATTCTCGACTTTTCGTCATGTTACGACAGAACCGTGATAATCAACAACAACGGATTTTACTTTAACATAAGCAGACTGGTCTTCTTGGCCCGTACTTTTTAGTTCTCTTTTTTTCATTTGTTTGTGCTTGTACAGTCTCCCTTGTATTTATAGTTGCGACTCTTGTCGTAGTTATTCAACTTCTCCTGGTTGGAATCTGCGGGTCGTCAAACTTATCAGCTAGCGGAATTCCACTAGGGATTAGACACGGAAAAGGTTCACAATGCACATTATGCTTACAATAGGCTCGAGCCTCTGAACAGATCATATCATACTGGGTTTTGCGTTCCCCTGTTCTCAGTAGCCTGCGTATAGATATACGTAGAAAAGGCCAGTAGTAGACAACCAGACGAGGGCCGGCCCGGTTGCTGCAGGTTGGAACAGTCGCAGACATCGAATTGCAGTTTCGAGTCGAACTAACACGTGGCCATAAATGGTGCTTGTTACTCTGGCATAAGGAATAACGAACATGATCCATCTTATACAAGTCAACTTGAAACTAGTTAACAGGAGCAAATAGTGGATGTGTGCAAAAACCATAAAATGGAATATATATGTTGAGCCTTTGAATAATATGTACGAAAGAACAAAATAAATCGTAACGACCTCGAAGACTCTGCCTCTAAACGAACCCCCATGCATAGAATAGCAATCAACTAATATCGAGTTATACTAATTGAAAAAGTCTTAAATGATAACACGAAAATGCGTTTCAATGATGGCAGTTGTCGAATTCGTTTTGTAATCCTGAAGATAACATGATTTATGTTGAAAAGAAATAAGAGTGATTCCTTCACTCCTAAAATATTTCTCCGGCCCCACATGATAATATGAGTATATGTGAGTAAGAGACCCTATTATTGCAAACCTTAGAGTGCAGGGGCTATTCATACTGAACACAGGTGTAAATAATTTGAATTGGGTTGTCTGCACCTGGTGTCTGGGACCTGCACTACCATGCTTTTCTCTAGTTTTTCTCAGCTCATGCGCCCATTCTAAGCTTCTTCGAGTGGGTGACAACTATACCCATTTAGTGCGTGTAACTCTGCAAATAATGGGGCAAACTTCAGTCGTAGTGAAAATTAGATGACCTTTTTTCAACAATTGTAATAGGTGTCATTTCCTAGTCGATATACGCCAGCTATGACTTTGCTGTTCTAGCTGCCATTCTACTTTACAAGACCGTGGAACACATACGGTGGTAGTACTTTATGCACAAATATGCAGCGATCTATATATTATGAGCAACTAGTACGTTATGCTTGGTAGTTCTGCTGAGGGCGCCTATTGGTTTTGATTTTCTCAGTCCTACATAGCGTTGCTGCAGACGTTTGAAACCTCGAGTATTTGTACTTGGGCGCCACAACTAAGCTGTGGTATCCAGGGCAACCAGCAGTCAACAAATTTGAGCTTTTACTCTCTCGTTGAGGAAGAAATTCGAATGAGTTTACATGTTGTTACAAAGTCAGAGCCTTAGAAGTTAAATGAACGGTGCATTTCAATACCGTAATTGCAACGGTACAATTCAGCGTCTTTTGTTCTACTAAATAGATGTGATCTTTTTAAAAGAAAATTGTGGCTAATAGAAGTAAGCAAAGCCGAAAAGTGCCCACCCGTCTAATATCTGAAAAGCTTTCCACTTATAGTGAAAACAGAGGCGTCCATATCAACATGGAAGCTCCTGACGCGCACACGTTTATGCTTTATTCCGCAACCGGCGAAATTCAGATAGCGCACGTAAGCATCAACAGAGGCTCACGGTAACACCTAAACGTATGACAATGAAATCTGAAAATATCTGCTAGAAATCATGATGTTGATGATGCAGTTATGTAGCGAGCTGAAAAAACCTACAACGGTACTTTGTTGTACATATATTAGATGCACTGAACTTTATTGTTTACACACAGAAGCCAGCTCTTCGAAAGTTTTCAACAACTGCCTATTTGTAACTGAGAAGCCTTGTCATCAATGGCTTATTTAAAGAAATCGACAGTAGGATACACTATGCCACATATCTTCTTTTCCGAGATATGGAAGCAACTGAAATTACGCGGACACAAGTCTGGAAAGGTCAAAGGTGTTGCTTGATCCTTTTTTCATCGTTCCAGGGCGTAGTTTAGGCGTGACGATGAAGTTGTGTGTGATCATCGGGTAAATTAGCAATAGAAGCTGTTCATGGGGTCTGAGATATTTAAAAGCATTTTTTTCCTTTTTGGGTAACGTCTCATAATAGCAATTGCCTCTGATATTTAGTGCAAGCACGCACATCGGTTTGTGCCGGAATCTATTTTACGCTGCCATCAATGACGTATTCTACTTTATCAAACTCTGTTTTCCTGTGCAAATCTTCTTACGACCAATGTCTCGTCGATGACGATGGTACGCTCGAAGTGGGTTTTTTTTTACTGGCAAAAATTGTGTAAATCGTCTCTTATGTTGCCACCCGTATCGGATTCAGTAGTGACCCAGTTTTTTTTTTCTTTTATCATTAGCGCGTTAGTCACAGTTTTATATATATATTTTTTTTATAGTTTCGAGAGCTCCTGCACTGAGCCTACCTACAAGGAGCACACTGTGCAGGTTTCATTAGGGTCAAAAGCTTCCTTAATCATAGCAACTCACTTATTGCGTTTGAGATCTTAATATATAACCGTTAATTCTACTACCCTCAGCCTCTCAATCTCCACTACTAAAATGAACTGCACCAATAACGGACTGTTATATTTCCTCATTTTACAAGTGGTCTCACTCTCAAAAAACAGAAACAAATGTTAATTTTCATTTGCTTCAAAATTTATGATTTTGTGATGTCATTCAGTCACCTTATAGTTGTATATCATTTGACTTGCGAATGGCGCGCAGTTTAAGCGTAGCTAAAATTGTTCAGCCTGCTAAGTAGCTCTGGACAGTTCATCTTCGTGAAAAAAGATAGTTTTAGGATTAAGTTATCTTGAATCTCGTTCATCTACTATCTATGGGTTTACATTTCAGTTCCCCTTCATCGATAACATCTACTGTAAAATAAATGTAGTTCATGGAAAAGATTGGATTCTTTGTGCCGTAAGTAAACATTTTCGTTAAATTTTCAGCAGTACATTTTTTAGGTAGCGTAGTAAAAACAGCTTTCATGATGAGCTTTTTAGGTTTAAAATACCCTAGATACGAATAGTTCACACTTGTGCCTAGGCGGAAAATTAACGAGCACGACAAAAGATTGTATACTTCGCATAGAAAGCGAATACAACCAACGATTCGCGCCCTTGCGAAATACCTATTTTACTTGTTACTTATCATTCAAGAATATTGGCATATAGAAGGTGTGTCTCTATGGGCCCAGCAATGAAATTAACGGAACCATTTATCGGCCGTAACTACAGTGAAGTACTTGACTAGCGTCCGGCATATAAACTATTTCCGCATTATATGCCTTCGTTATTTTAAAATCCATCATCAACGTTACTGTCACCCCGACACAGATACGTCTGGGTTTGGCAACGCCCGGCAAACATATGACGTGAATATAAATTGATGATTATAATTAAGCTCTTCAGTTCAATGGTCTGGATCGTATTTTTCAAATAGGGAAGCGAGGATGATTTGACGCAGGTCAGTCGAAAAACAAGAGGAGCCGGACTTAATGGAGGTACGACTTGCAGCGGAAGCTACTTTGTATTCAACCATCCACTCGATGTCGCTTACAAATTCACCAATCCTTATGGCTGTACGTAAAATTCATTAACGAGTCGATAACTGAACGCTATTGTGTCTCGCCAGTTGGTACGTTTAAGTCCTGAGATGGCTCTGTAACTGTTTCCCCCTGACATTTAGTAATAAGAGTTTTTTTCTATGAAGCTCAGTGAAGTACATTGTTGAAATGAAAACGTCTTCATTCTAGTCAATGTATTCTGATCAATAAATGTGTACTAGTTTAGTTTGTTTCCATTCGCACACCTCGTTAATGATTAATATTCGTGCCCTTCAGCCACTCTAAGAGGTCATTTATTTGCTGTTCGATTCAGGGCCACAACTGGTGCTAAGCGTCTTCGGTTTAGATGCGCTTGGTAATGACGTTATCCGTGGTTATGGTACAATTCACCTTCCAACGATGCCTGGACGGTAAAATACAAAAACATAGACACGATGACAATTTGAAGCGATGACTAGCACTGAAGTAAAGCAACACGTTTGCGTCATCAAAATCATCTCTGATGTATATCAGCTTTGTTGACATTTTTTTAAAATGCGGGCAAGTTCATAGTCTTATCGTAGTTTTGTTCGGTTGTAATTGAGTTCTGCATTGCTTTTATAACACCTTTTCGGGAATGTACTTCTTTTTAGGGAAATGCCGTAAACCCTTGCAATTTCGTTTCGTTCTGTTCATAGCCATTTGGATCAGGGAAAAGTGATAGTCTAGTTGAGTTAAGGCAGATCTTGGGCAACGTAAAGTAGTTTTCCAAGGTAGTTAACTGATCTAAGATTTGCAGGCATTCGGTAACGGTACCCCTACAGGCGCCGGAATCTAGCACTGTCGCGCAGTGGCTAAGTAGCTTGTTTACCGGAAAGCGACCTGAACTTTCTGAACCAAGAGTGTTTGCGGATCAGCACAGCCGGCAATGTACGTCCTACATGCATCGTACGGAATTCACTAAAAGCCTAACTTATTAACGTGCATCCAGAGATGATCTAACAAAGGCGCATCTTCTTTGTGATGGGCGAAAATGTTTCAGTGCTCCGAATGTACTCTGAGGGTCTCCCGTACATCGAAGTTGTCTTCAACGTAGCTCTAAAGGATATGGACAAATTCGGTTTTGATGTCGGTGCAAATCTTGCCGTGAATCAGGGCGGAAGCCAACTTTTTTAAGTACAAAGGTAACCTGTAGTAGGCTATTGATTTTGCTATGTAATGAATAGCCACGCTTCAGATATGTTTACTTTACTCTGTACGTGAATCGGCTATGATAGGTGTGTCTAATGAAGCAATCTTCACGACCCATATACCGTTTGTGTATTCTATCTGCATCGACCAATTTAGTGCCAGACACGACCCGCTATATTTACGAGAAGTCATAAAATGACACTCCCATACTTTTGCCAGGCTAGTTCCCCATTAGGAACAGCATCCAGACAAGTCTCGCGTTGAGAGAGCCGCAATGTGGATTACCGTATACTTGTTTCGGGTGCATCCACGTTCGTGTGCGGTACTTCAAGCACTTCCCTAAGAACATTTATTACCTTAACCATTGAACGAATCTAACAAATATTATTGCAAGCTTCTTATCAAACCAAGCTTGCCTTTGCAAGTAACCTTACGGAATATAATCGTTCATGTGCGGCCCAAGCCAACATACATATAGTCCAGTAATCTTATCGATAGAGTGTGAGTGTGTGTATGTGTGCATATAAATGTTTAGCGATTGGAGAACTCTCACTAAACATAGTCTGGCCAAACTAACATATATTTAGCGCATCTTCGTTACATTTATACATGAACGGCATAATCAAGCCGTAGAATAATGCAATGGGTGTAATAAACGAATCAGGAAAAAAATTGATTCCTTAATCTACTCGACGATAATTATCTATATATTATTCTCGATCCGATTTCTACGTGGCCTTAAAAACGGTCAAAGGATATTTGGATTTGTGTTCTCGCATGCTATACCGTTACGCCTTAAACCTGCAATAGCACTCCTCATCGCCCTAAACAGGTATCAATCTAGGAAAGGCAAAATGCTACACTGAGAAATTGACAAAAAAATATAACCTCTATTATTAAAAAATATAACTTAAATTATCTATTACTTATAGAAGCTATTTCTTCGCAGGAATTACAAGCAAGAAAAAGGAATTAAACAAACAAGCAATTTTTACAGAGGTATAAAGCTATAACTTGATATCGGGAATACATATGAAAATCCCTGACTGTCGGTAAAAAAAAACTGCCCGAGCTGAATCATCTAAATGAATGAAGCGATGTTTTGAATGGATGAAATTTCACAGTTGTGTTATCTAAAGACGCTTAAACCTATGGATCCAGTATCTCACCCAGGCAGAATTAGTCAAAGAGCCTTCAACTTTCTGTGATACTAATAAAAAGCGTAGCAACAAAAACTGTCTCGTTTGACCCTTAAGACCTTTATAACTTATTGTAACGTACTAGTGAAAACCCTTATAACTGTAATTAGTATTTGAACAAATCCTAATAATAACTAGTTAACGATATGCTACAATGAACCGTATCAACAAGTAGTCGAGGCAGCAGTAGCTTGCGTATGTTATGCTACACTGATAGATAATTATTTCATAGAATAAGATGCCTTTACACGTAATTGAAGACAAACGTATTGTTTATATTGTAAGAGTGTAAAAATATGCTTTATAATAAGAGTCATCATCCAAGTAGATCGTAGCAATACATTACTATTGCAATTGCGGCATCATCATCCGCACCGTTATCATCTACACATCAATATGTACAGTAGCTGTTCGGCTGTTGTTTCTACTCAACTCTATAAGCGTTAAGGGTCGCAGTGCTCCTGGGGTTTCATTGTACATCCGACAACCAGGTCGACGGCATAGTTTGCATCCGTTCTTTATATTTATTGGGTCAATGACGCTTGATCCGTCACAAATGACCCGGTGCGGTCTTGGGATTGTGATTGTGCGCGAGCTCTGCTTGATGATGGTCCGAACGGCCCGTCGCGGGGCGGGTCGCGGAAGTGCGTGGCCCTCACTTGTCCTTCCTGCTCTCGTCTGCTCTGGCGCCTGCAGAAAAGAGAACGCATATATTGAGAGGGCCGAGTGCCAGTTTGTGTTGATGCTGCTCTCTGACGCCAATGACGCGCACGTGCATCTCGTTCCCGCGCCAGGCCGTCCGGGCCTTGACAGTTCAGTTCACAAACAAATAGGCGTCATTTTGGCGCCGCTGTCATTCAGGGCTCCGTTTCTGCTCCGAAAGCGACGTCGATTACGCTCGCACGTATCAACTCTCTTTTTTCTTCTTAGTTTTTGGATCAAATGAACGCGATATTCTGCGCAATTGACTTGGACGTAAAAGGTGCTCAGTTTGTGGACTTAAGATTGAAAGTTCGCTTTCTGAGGCTTTGTCTTCTGAAGATTTGTCCTCTTCCTTTTCTTCGGGAAGCTGAACGGGCCGTAATTTGGGCATTTCCGCACAAAAAGGTAATGGTGGTGGTTTTATTAAACCCGGAATAGGCTGTCCACGCCGAAAGTGCGAAGGGCCACCTTTTTTTTGTGGATGCGAAACCGTCGACTTCGGGGAGTTAGGATCTTTGGTAGTCGCGCCTTTTCTAAATTTGGACATCTTTGATCTTGCGCCTGTTTCTAATTCCTCTTTTGGTTTTTGAACTGCCTCTTGCCTGGCAGGGAGTGGTTTCGGCGGTAATGGCGGTGCGGGTGGCACGCTCTGTTCTTTAGGCGGAGGCGGCGGTGGAGGCGGTGACGGAGTCTTCTGCTTTCGTGGCACGATGTCTGCCTCGACCGTAACATCCGATTGAGGCTTTAAACTGATCGTGACTACAGGCGCTTCAGGACTAGGCGGCGGAGTGTAGCTATCGAGACTTGTTGAACGTTTTCTTATTAAAGGATACCGTTTAGGAGTCATTAGACTCTCTACGGATCCTGCTCGATTTACGGGAACCAAAACCATTTTACCTCTATCAGAATTACCGTCTTTAAGGAATTTCATTACATATTCACTTTCCGGACTTTCCGATTCTCTAGAAGGCGGCTCAACATCGATTACCACGTCTGTAGATGTCATGAACTCTGGATGGCTGTCCACCATGATGTTAGGCAGACTTCGATGGTGAAGCCATGCATCGGGGCGAATCTCCATAGGTAGGTCAAGAGATTCCGTTGTCGCTAAGGCTTTTCGATCAAGTAGCATCGATTGCAACGTATACTGCGGCAGTTCTGCCTTTCGCAATGCAGCGTTTGCTAGGCTTAGTCGTTCCTTAAGCTTGTCTTTCGAGACAGCAAGTTTAGCTAGTTCTGGTTGGCTAGAGCTTGTCATATGCAGCACCGGAGTAGAAAGACGACGCGGTATTCGCAACCCACGTTCATCAAGGAACGTCACCTGCAAACAAAAGTCCTCGATGTGCATTCAATCCGGAACAATAGGTCTGTCGCTCAAATCAGATTTAAAAGAAAAATGCAGTCTGCAGAAACTTATCAATTGAGGACTTTACTTATGTATTACATATATTCCCACATTACGGCACTATATATTCGAAGTTAACGTGAACAGTTTGAGCCTTCAACAGAAAATATGATATCTTCGGTTACCCTTATATCGAATTTTAGTTATAAATTCGTTGGCATAATCTACTGTGAGACCCGAATTCTTATTACGCCTTTGTATAAACAACTTTTACCTTCGGTGGTTGCCCCTTTTTCTTAGGTGGCTTATGAGGGAACTCGTAGTCAGCTAGAGGTCCTTTCCAAGCCTGAACTTTAACACCTTTTTTAGTAAAGATTCCTATTTTCTTCGACCTGGTAGCAGGCGTTACTGGCGATGCTGCCTTCAGCGAAGAAGATGTTTGAGAAATCGTACCGTCGTCCGCAGGAAGCTGGAGATGATTCGGATCCTGCCTACGATCGAACAACAAAAATATGAAAAACATGGAGCTCAGACGCCTGATGGGCAATTTGACAGAAGTTAAAGATATTTTATTCGACAAGGGATTTTGAGGTCTAAAATTCTGCTAGCTTATCCTAAGCTTATGCAGGTCTCATCGTCCAAGCAGATTTTCGCGATATCTTTAGTACGTCTGACCTCTTGACTACATTTTCTTAAAAAAAAAAAAAGCGAACCTAATTATATGAAAGTTATGACACATTTTGACAGAACCGTATATTATCTAAAATGGATTATCAATCATACGAATATAAGCAATTGATCGTATAGTTGCCAGGCATGTATTCTATCAGAGAAATAATACTATGTGTGTCGTAAAGTTATAATTTAACTTATTAATTTATAAAAGAGTATTTTATGCGCTCTGACCGACCTAACCGACTGGCATGTATAAAGCAAAAAAGGCGAAAGAGGGTAGTTGAATACCCACTGATGTTTTAGTTGCACGTAAGCTTTTCTGGAACTAATGATAAATTCTATCTTTTACTTTTGTTTTAAAAATTCCGTAATATGGCATACAGCATGTGTGCGAGAGCCATATTGAAGTGCACAGTGTTGAGTCAAGAGTACATTCGCTAATTAAATCTGCTCAGAACCGTGCCCAGCTTGTTTTATAAGTGGTATTGTCTTCTTACTGTAATATTATAAACTATATGCAACTAGGTCTTACGGCAGGGTACCGAAGGTCTCCTCGTTGATCTGCTGCTCGGAACCGCCTGGGGTTGGAGCTTTAAAGTATATGTGCAAGTTCGAATCCCCAGCTTCCATGTGAGATGCGGGATCTTTGTTGACAGCGAGCGAATGCCGATGGCCTTTGAGAAGGTTCCAGGTAGAAGACTTTTGTTGTACCTCCTCTGAAGATGTTTGCGCTTCATCCTCTTCCTCTGAAATCTCGGGCACCACCATTGATTGCTCTTTTTGAGGTACGCTGTAACGTTAGAAGTAAAGCCAGTTAGCTTGCAACTATTCAAAATGTGATTTTGTCTCTACTCACTGATACGTATTATTTACGAATTGTACTTTCCAAGTAGCTGCTGATTCGTCACTAACATAGGAAGTTTCAATTGTAACTTAAGAATTACTTAACAAAATAGAATAGTCTAGGACTTGCTATGCGTGTAATTGAACAGTACTTGTATGTCTGTAGTCTTTAGGTACCTGAAATGCTTGCACTTCAGCTATGATCAATATACGAATAGTTACATGATTCAATATAATAGTTAATTCATTTTGAGGAGCGTGACAAAATTCGTTGTGAGCTTTTATTAAGATTTTATTTAACAATGTCATATACAGGGAGCACTGTTTAAAGGCCAGCTGACTTAATCATTTAAACTACTGTTAATTGCCATTTGTTGTTTGTAGCTAGTTTTGATCATTAGAGTGAGCAAAAAATGTCCCTTGAAGCCGACAAATGGTGTTATGTCGGTTATTTTAACCATATTCAACTGAGTCTTCCCAGGATGATTATCCTGATCATCGGACGTGTGGCCTATTGTTCTCACTGAGCTATTGTTGTGAGATGTAATGATTCGGTGCGTTCAATCATTTAGATCGAAAAACCGTATATCTGACGTTGTCTTCTTCACTATTTTCGTGCTAGAAAAAAGTTGCAAAGATAAAAAGAATAGTTTTCGAAGTTGGAGAAGAACCAGTAGTTAGCGTTCCCTGCCAGTTCTGTGTTTTAATTTCATCGTTGCGAAAGAATACTTCAACAACAAGGAACGATGAATAATGTCTCACACGAGCACATAAAGCAAATTTTAAGTGCACTTTGAACAAAACGCAGTGTCACTGATTCAAGAGCTCTTGGCGCAGTCACGAGTGACCTACGTGACGGTTGTTGATCACCGTACAAAAATTTCCATAAACTCAGCGAAATTTACAAAAAATATATATATATATATATATATATATATATATATATATATGATTGTATAACAGAGAGTCATTTCTAAACAGGATACTGGTGCTGGCATGAAATATTAAGTATTTGCTATACCGCTAAATGCAGACTAGAACGGTTAGACCCTTCCAGCTTGCCGGCACAAAGAAATATGATCAAAAGTTGCATCTCGGCATATGCTCATGGAAAGGAAATGTTATATTAAGAGTTACTTGAACTCTATTCCACCCAGCGTACAACTTAGGCATTGTTTTATTTTGCTATTACTTGTTTCGGTCAATGCAACCTAAACAGGAAAGCAAATACCTTAGAAAAAAAAGACCGAAACCCTCAAATGGGTCGACGAATGGATCGCTCCTAAGGTGAATGCTTTTTTATTTCGTAGGATACCTCCGGTATCAGGGAAAAAAGGATACTGGTCGGACTGAGATGTGTTCGCTTGTTTAAGAATTGCATCAATCTAGAGTGGCTAAAACCAATGGAAACGTTTTACGCAATCTAAATTATTAAGGTTGAATAATACTGAAGATAATTTCTTGGGCACCAAACGACAATTATATTTTATATTATTTCTGAGTGGCACAGCATATATTAGGATTAAAATATCTGAATTAAATGTGCTCCTATTGCAAGAAATTGCTGGTTTAAGCTGCGCAATAGGATCTGCTACACAGATGTATATTGGATTTCGTGTGTACATATCCTCTGAGAAAAAGAAACGTTATCTACGACATATCATGTTAAATATTGAATCTTTTATGAAAGCTGCGTTTAATACGAGTTACGTACTGCATCCAGGCGGCAGAGCCTCGGTAGGTCTTCTTTTTGTAGGCGACAGACGCTGCTGTGTATGGCAGCTTATAATCCATCTTAGAGAAATAAGAGTCCTTGACCAGCGGAGGTGGAGGACCACATAGCGTATCGACGCCCAGGTAGCACACCTACAGGTAATAACGCACGGGTATCGTCATGATGCAATTGTAAGTGATGGACAGGCGTTGCCATTTAGGCGTGTGATGGAAATGACTTGTAGCATGTCTCAGCTTGTCCTTTTAGTTCTCAACAATAGGTCAATAAACCTCATAAACTAATTGAATACGTCCGTACCAAAAAGGTAATGCTGTCTAGTGGGTCTTTGATGAAGAAGACAAATCAGATCGAACGTTTTTTCAGGTCTAAAGGGTTTTACAGGAAGTCTCCATTGACTGCGCTCCATGATGTCAGTCACAGCCGCTGCTAGCCGTTTTGTCCATAGAATATTTTTGTTATTATTTGCTGAGCCAATGTCGTGACGTTCATAAGGGTCTGTTGACTAACAATGGCCTTACCTTGATGTGTCTATCAATAATCCAGTTAAGTTCAAAGTCTTCATCGTCGTCGCCAAAAGGATTGATAAGCTGTTCGGCTACTTTGAGCAATCCCATGTAGAGGAAATACTGTACAACGGTGAACGCAGGCACGTAATAGTCAAAGTGGAGCTCCTTGGCTATAATCGGATCCTTTGATTGTACGTACTGCCGACCAAACAACGCCGCTGCAAAAAAGGCATATGTCGCGAGCGTAACAACCTGCACAAAAGACATAAAACTCATACTATTATTACATTGTATTAATAATTAATTTGTTTATTAGAAAGTTTGCTTATGGAAATAAGTTGAACACCTATTGTTGTAGGTTAATTTTGGATAAAATAGTGTTCGAATGCTTCTATAAACTTCAATTTTATTAGAAACGGGAGTTTTACTGGAGAGTAACTGGATTTACTCACTTCAAAATAGCGTCCTTAATTTTTAATAGTAGTATGTTCAGTATCTGATGGCCTATTTCACTAAAAATTATAAACGTTGCAATATTTGCGACATGCCATTGCAAACAATTGAGCTACAATAACGTAAGTCAATAGCCTTTACCCTCCCCAAAAACCGCTTTGTGCCCACTGATAAACTAAATAACAGTACTGACTATTTTGAGCGTCTTCCAGACGTTCGATTCCAGAAAGCTCGATTTTTATTGCGATAGTTCCTTAGTCACTCAGAGCTTTAACAATTTTGAACAAGATATAAAGCTTAATAAAACGAAAGATATATTTGACGGAATAATCCGCTGTGGAGACATTGTTCTGCTGCCAAATACCGAAACTTGCATAAGAATGACTTGACAAATATCACCGAGGGAGGCAGACCTTACATTGACTATATATGTATGAGCACACTGAAAGCACAGCTGTTCCTAAGGGTGCAACCCTGCTTTTCAGTTTAATGTCCGTTCCATATCAGTTTATATTTCGTACTTTATTATCCTAACTAGTGTTTCGGTAACATCAGATAAAACATCGACTTCGTTTAGCAGCGGGAGATATTTGCTAAATTACTTTTACATATATTTAAGTCGATTTGCTGTTTGTATACAACGGTACAGAATACTTACCTGTGTGTAGACCAGTGGAATACTAATCCAGTCATAACTCCAAAGTAAGCCGCATTTAGCCCGGAATTCGTTAAACTCCTACAACAGCAAACCGTAGATAACAAGGTAAGGCCAATAGGCATGTAACACACAGAAGCGTTCCCTTTCAGGTCAGGCCTGATTATCAAAGCAGACCCAACCAAATGATTGTATAGTAGAAATCGCACTTGGCAGCGAAGCTATTTCGTTGATGTCCACACTAAAGATGGCGTCAGATACTGCCTATGGTGGTCTGTTAAAGTCGGCTTTTTCTTTAAATGTCTTACCAATCGTATTTTTCATATATTTGCAGCATCCGATCCCAGCGCTTGTACCTGCTCGTATTTGACATACGAAACTGAATCATCAGTTGAACTTTTTAAAGGAAGATTTAGACCTTTCATCTCATATTGAATCAAATTGCATACAGCCTCCAACTGGATAATTCTTGATCTGATAAACTGAACTTCTTTAGCTAAAATAATGACACTTTCAATTTCAGAAAGGCATGTGCACCCTGAGCTTTCTATCTCAACTTTCGTCTATTTGGCATTTTTATTTTTTCATAATTCATAAACTTTGTGCTGAGATAGCGATTGTTTCAGTGGACCGTACACACAGTGTCCGTGTGATGGGGAATTGATCACTGAGTCGTGTGGATGATGATCATTCCTGTTCAGAACTATGCGGCTCTATGCTCGATGCACAAACGGATACATTCTAGTAATGTGATCGATTATCGTAGTGATCTCGCTAAATGATCTGGGAGTTGAAATTTCGCGTAAGCTGAAAAATCATATTCTATTAATTAAAAACCCCACGTTTTATATTAATTTTTTGTACACCTTGCAAATATCTGCATTGTTCCGAAATTACACGAGGAAATGCTAGCATAGATTCGATTTGCTTGCAAGGTCCCCCTTCAGACCTACATAGAACTAGTCTGTTTATCCAACTTTCCTAAACTGCATTGTAACTGACCATTAAGTTAGCAAACTGTGGCACATTTCACTGTCCTAGTTATTTTTTGGATCAGCGCCACAATACGTAGACGTTTCTGCTTGATTCAAGTTTTTAGTAGGCCATTGTAGGTTAATAGATGCGAGCGTGCTTTTTCTCGTATTTTTCGTCGAATCATTAAGTCGTTTGGCATTACCTCAGAGCGTATTACTGAGTTGACTTTTCGAAGACAGTCGATAGCGGGGTATGCTTATCCATCAGTAGCCGTTTTTAAAGTATGGAAAGGTTCATCATCACACAGTTCGTTTAGGAGAATGGGTGGGTTAAAGCCAGCGATAATTATTTCCTTGCTCGATCAAAGAAGTAATTGAGTCATAGCGATGAGGTCGGCCGTTGTTATCGAGTAATCAAAGTGAGCATTTTTGATTGCTGTCCCCATAGTGCATGAGGGACTCGAAATAATGGACCGTGTATTTCATTTTCGACGAGTATCTCGTAGTGGCAGAGAGCTTTAACATCCACTGCGGGTGCTACCATCACCTTACGTCCGAACCTAGTCGACACTGCCCCCACTGACTCGATTTCTCGTTGGGGCAATGTCGTTCTCTCGCCTGGTTCCTCTCCGGCTAGCACCAAAAACTGAACTACGCCTCTCCAATGGGTACCGTGAGTTCCAGTTGTGTTTTTCTGTTTATTCAAGGTCTGCAAATACGCATTTCCAACTTGCCTGGAATCAATTGACGGGGTACCCATTTCTTACTCAGTTCCCACATTCTTTTCATTCTGGAGCACGTTATATTTTAAAAGCTGGTTTTCGTCGGCAGAGCTTTTAGGCTTTCGAGCTCCGCTTTAGTGAAAAGCCTCTTGGACTGCAGCAATGCACCCTTGCCCTGCTGGTCTCGGTGTCTGCTCACTTCCCCGCCGGCCTTCAGTATTCCAATCTCGTTTCTGGAAACGCTCGCACCATTCACGTACTGTGCTTTCGCTCACCTTCCGTGCGTAATGTCCCGCGTAATGCGAAATGGCATTGCTTCATTTCGACAACATCATTGGATCCTCTAGGACTATCTTTGGCCAACGTCCACACAATTTCCGAGAAGTTCTCTGTCCTCACTGTCGTTGGCCTGCACTATAAAATGACTTAGTGTTCGCTATGGAGGAGGTCGTTTACTTCGGTCATAGGGTTTTTTTTGGAAATCTCTCATGCTACAATGAAAACGATGGTCATTGGCTGCCCTAGTGGCCCGCCCGCTACTGTTTGGCAGTGACGAACTTTTTGTGACTGGGCTCTAATTACCGCTAGCTTGTAAGGGATTTCGCCAGGCTTGCCGCACTTTTATACGATTCGTTGAAAACGACCGTCTTTCGTTTAGATTGTTCCTCACCAGAAGGAATTTCTGACAAAAGGCCTCTTAGACATTCGAGCAAGTCCTCTAGGAAAAGACATGCCAAACTGAAGTACAAATCGACGCAAGCAGTGCCAGTGTGGGGACTATACTTGTCCAGCTTGACAAGGACGTGAAATGTGTGGTGGCCCACGCGAGTCTGCGTTTCTCGGCTAAGATATGAATCAGCATCGATAAAATAGGTGTGGATTTGGTGGGGCTGCTACGCTTCCCGGAACTTGCTTTTTTGTTTGCTATCGTGAGAAGAAACTATGGCGTTGACTTTGTTCACCTTTCATTAGCTTGTCGCATGACAATCATACTCGTGCCCGCTTATCAAGATTGCTATAATATCGACGATGCCATCCTAATGGATAGTGTGAGCTTACTTTTGTGGTCGACATATCGGCTAGTATTTGGCAAGTCCAGCATTTACCATACAATAACTGCTGTAGCCTGTCTACAAACAAAAATGCTGGTAAACTGGAAGATTGGCACAGTTATAGAGCGACCATTTGCGCGTTTGCTATACACGCCTGGCTCATCTGGTTCAGCAACGTTTCCAACGCTTGCCTTCACGGTGAACGAAGCCCTAAACGCAACACTGTTTGACTAACCTATGGGTTCAAGGCTATATGATCTAATAAGCCTTCGAAGTCGAGGCAGTCCATCGGCTTGGTACCTCTGCATCTTAAGTTGGAAAGGTGGCCTACGTTTTCCTTCTCCGGCGAGATAGGTCTCTAAAACACTATTCCTTTGAGCCGGTCGTCTCGGTCTGGTAAGCCCACATTTCTAAACTGCCCTCGCCCGCTTCCCTAAAGCTGCGGCCTAGATTCGAGTTGTGACAGCAGTAAGTGATATTCGCGTTCCTCCCTTAAAATTAAATTGACACCATTACAAGGGTTCTGTAGAGATCGAAACAGCTGATAATCTGGGCTATACAGCAAGTACAGTGAAATGTTCCATCTAAGTTCTTTCGACTTTTATCGGTAGCTAAAAATGTATATGGTTTAGCATTATCATGGTGGAATACGAAGTCCTTTCCGTTTGCTTGTTCCAATCGATTTCTTCAAGGGCTTGTTGTAATCTTTTTAGTTGTTGACAGTAGGAGTTTGAGTCGACCGTTTTGTCAGGCGGCGGCAGCTCCCAGTGTGCACGGTTTCTCTCCAATCTCACCAAGCATAGCATCAGCTTCTTTGGCACCAGTCTGGACTTATCCACATATTGTAAAGTAATTTTCTATCGTATGTAACCTATTTCTTTTTCTACTTGTGATCGACCAATTTAGAAACAACCCGACTTCGTTGCGTTTCTGTACAGTTTTGTATGTGGATGCATATACTTTTAATGCCTTTTCGTTTGCGAATCACTTCTCATTATATGGATACCTCGTCTCATACATAGAAATAATTTAGAGAACATGAAAAAGAACGTACGCGCTGTTTAGATAGTCAGTTTTTTTTGGATCAATTTTGAATACTGGAGTAATGTCCGAAATCATCATAAACATCAATAAAATCAGCTTACTTCCATGATGAGCTTGACCCCGTAGCCATCCGTGACTCGACAATCCATTTTGGCTTCGCGGAGGAGATTGATAAACCAGGTACAGGGCACCCAGAATGTGTTGAACTCATTCGACGGAATAGACATCCAGATGTCAGACTCCAGCTTCGTCATGAATCCTGGAACGCGACATAACACGGCCACGGTGAAAGACCTATAAACATCGAAGTGGCCGTTTGTCACTAAATTCCTTATATCCCCTTATCGGAGTAACTTGCTTGTTATACGAGACTCTAGAAGCAAACAGCTCGGAAGTACTTAGCAGATTCGAGTAACTTGGAATGCTTGATCAAACCATCCAGCGTTGGCAATATCACAATTCCTAAACTGTACCTATGTACATAGAATTCAAGTACCAACTTATTGGACATTGAACGACACCGTAGCTTGTTATTAGTTTTCAGCCATTGAAAGCAACAGTGAGCTTTGTAGTCTGTTATTCGAAGCGTCAATCTGTATCAATAGAAGGCGTACCGGCTTCGATAAGGTGTTCTTTCGTGGGGAAGCGTCTTTTGACGGCCTTGCTGATCGACCTTAACACAAGGATCAACGTGAGGTTGAGATACCTCATTAGCGTTCTCCGGAGCATTCGGCTTTTTTCGTCAGTACCAGGGACGTACATTGAGACGACGTTCATAACTCTGTAATAAATAAATTAATTAATTAGATACATAAAAGCAGGAATATATTCTAACTAGCTAATTTAGCGCATAGTTATCGTTAAGCTAAGTTGAAAAATAGACCTTTGAATTGATTGTGAATTGAATATGTTGAAATAGTTTTTAGATACTGTTAGGACGGACTAGCTCCATCTAATTACGTAGAAAAATGAGAAACTCGACTTGTGGCGGATATTTGTGAAAAATTTGGAGAAACACAATAGTTCGACAAGCACTTAGAACAATCTAATTCACTTCCTATCAGGCGTAAAGATGTCAGAAATTCTCAAAGAAAAAGCGCCAGAATGATACACGGACGCCCACAACGACAGCTGACCATCAGTGGTGGAGCTTCAGTTATTGCATACATCGATTAGAGAAAATTGCAGCTCATTACTGACTAAGTTTATTTACTACTAATGTACACACTTTTAATTAAGTTAGAAACACAAACGCCGTAAAATATCTAGCCATTTGCATGTCGACTAACCTTATACCATACGGCACAAAAGAGTTGCCAGCTCGTTAGTATAACTCTATGCACATCATAATAATAATAGGCACGAAAGAGGAACTCCAACTAACTTGTCGGGCCATGGTATAGCCATATACTGATTCCACCATCGAGTTGCCGTAAAAGAGACATAAAATCCAAGCAGAAAAGAGAGCGGTATTTTGTCCATGAATTTTGAGCAGTAGTAGACGATCTTCTCGAACAGCCTAAAATCATAAAAAATAGGTAAGAAACAGACGTGGAGTTGTCAAATGGCTGTCGAAGCTTTTTCAAAGTACCGCTGCCATGTGCTATTTACATGTTAACATCTAACACATAATACCTACACAGTATGGCAGTACGATGTACAGAGGGATGGATGTCATCATGATGATCATAACCATTTTAGTAGCTGCTAAAATTGGCGCAGACCATTCTATAGCTCAATGTAACAGTGAAATTTAACGTTCAGTATGCAGAAAAAAAATATTCTATACAGTATATTATTATATTCAGTATACCGACTGTGAGTTTTCTAGTAAGAGCTAGCAAGTTGCCTTGGCAATCGATTATCCTACGTAAAGTTTAGAATGGATCATAGATGGTAGAGAAGCACATAGAACAACTTACTCGCGTTGTCCCTCATTGAACGCATAACGGTAGAGAAGCGATAACGTCCCGTAGCCGAGGGCCAACAACGACAGTTCGTAGTAAACAAGCTTCCAAACGGATCCTTTCCATCGAAATAGTAAACGGATGAAGCCACCTGACGAGGTTGAGGCCACATCATACTGATATGAGACAGTCATACTGCCCAAGCTGTTGCGACAGAGCGCATCGACCTGAAATAGAAGAAACGACTATAGTTAGAATATCTGACCGACGGATCTTTACTTGCAAAATAAACGACACATAACAGCTGGGTTCACATTTATCTAATGTTAAGAAGCGTCCAACTGAAGCGTCCAAAATAAACGTCCAGTTTAATAAGAAGAGTAGCTTTAACGTACAACGTGCTTGTCTTGCGTAGGCATACGTGTGCATTCTATCAAAAGGCCGTTTTAAAGTTGATCTCATTTGTGGTAACTTCAACTGTGTTATGCCTCTGCCGGTCCTGTTAATTTATTATTTAGTTATTGTCCAATAGACCAAGGGTGCGGGAGGAGTCCTGTGGTTGGGTATAACGGCAAAGTACTTCAGCTAATTTTTTACTGTATAGATCAGCATCGTAAAATCAAAACCTAGCTACTTCGCAGGAAAACCTTCTGTAATTTGCGTCGCATCACACGGGGCAAAATAATGCCTTAGCCTACATTAGTCGCGTAACAGGAAATTTTGTATTTTAGTCTATTGTTTGTCTCGAAGTAGAACTGTAAGCAATGTTACACATTATAACGAATAATATCTTCTATGAGCGTGTATCTTTTGTCGTTGGCACCGTTCTTTTAGATTATCTTCTTCATGTATAAAATGTAAAAATACGTACTGCATACTGGATCGTATTAAACTTGTTCGTTACGAGACTTCGCACGATTTCAAATCAACTGACCTTGCAGCTTATAAAAAGAGCTCAGATACTATGAACTGTTTGAACTGTACCCAGTCTGCCAATCTGCCATTCCCAAAATATTAAGTCCATGATACAGGGAAAAGCAAAGCGAACATTTCTAAATTATTCGAAAACATTCTAAATTAGCCACTTGATGCTATAAATAAAAAAAAAAAAACTTTAATCGTACTTGACGGATGTTCTCCACTCACTTTGCGACTGCGAACTGCGATGGGCGAACGTGTAACTGAAATCACGACCCTTAAGCCGATAGCGCAAGCGGACGACTGCGTAGTAGCAGTAGCCATGCGGAATGAAAAACGTTAATTGATGAGGCTATGTTTGTAAAGTCTTCTATCCACCCCAAAATCTCTAACAATATTTACAAGAAAATAACAACTTGAAGAAGATTCTCTACGGTTTCATATAAATACTTTTCTCCAACTTCCAAAAGGATAAGATCACAAATGTATCCGAGTCGTTTTCTCCGAGCTTTTTTGTTGTCAGCAAATACAAACAGTAAGGTTTCAAATCGATCGGGAAAACTCAGTTATCACATTTCCCAATTTCAGAAAAAAAATCAGACTGCGTCGCTATTGAAGACCCTTTAGTAGAACAGGTTACTCAAGACTGGAACCTTTTAAAACCTCAAAGTACGTGGGTTGATAGTTAGGTCTTACATGAAGACTTGTTGCGTGAAAATATGATACTCGTTTCGTTTTCACATGAGAACTCAATGTAAACGTCACTACATAACAGTGAGTGACATGTCTTATATGTCTGCTGACATATTTGCACGATCGCACTACTGTAGTAGACTTCACATCATTCTTTGTCTTGAATCTTAGCCACTGTACAGACATGCAAGGGATGCCTCTGTAAGCTTCTGCAATAGCTATTGGCCTGAGTAGAAAATTCTGCTCGGAGAAAACCAGTCGCCTTTAGCCTGAAAACGTATGAAATTTAGTAACATTTTATAACCTTCCTGCTATACTTCGGGTTAGCTTTCATTGAGCTTCAACGAGCAGTGGTTGTTAAGAGACTTAAATACAATGCACCTCTGCATGTTGGAAAAATTTCGCTGATGTTTTTTTCAAGTCACATCTGTGGTTCTTAGAGAGTTGCACACAATTTAAGGGTATATGAAATGGGTACCAAAGGCGCAGGAGGTATTAAGCGAGAAAAATTATAAAATTCAGCTACACTGTGTAGCTAAGCATCCGATGACAACGTATTTAGGTAACGCTCGTTAAAGTTTAGGCTGTGTGAAAATGAGAGCCACTTCATTTACTACGATGTACTTACGCGATCCAAAATAAGGGAAAACATACCCGTTCGAGGGCAGGCTGAGCGCACACGAATATGTGACGCAAAGAAATCCTTAAGCGTTTACCTAAAAACGTCGAGATCTCTTCCATTATCAGCGTAGTTCACGACTGACACATTTAGCGCGTGACTCAAAAAAAAGCATAAAAAAGAAATAGCCAAGTTCCGTTTTTTAAGGACAATTGATTGTCAGCTTTCGCTTCACAAGCAGCGAAATTAGCCCTACTTGTAATACAAAAGAGCCCCTAATAAAAATGTTCAACGTCCAGTCTACAGGTTTAGGCCTGAACCTTCTAGACAGATGAACGATGAGTAATACTTCGGTACTGCTTCGAAAGCACTCGCAAAATCGATGTCAGAGTCGAGAAGAAAGGCCCTAGAGTCACTGAGCCAGAACCTATAAAGTCAAGACTTATCGAGCGGCAAACGCAAGGTTACTTAACAAAGAATATTCGATTAGCATCAAATTTAAAACCTTTCATGCCTTTTTTAAATATATTCGTGTTACCCCGCATATACAATTAAATTACAAGCGGCGCCCAACGTTTGTATAAATGTTTTTTTTAGGCGGTGTCAACAGCCAACCCTTTTATACGAGCATGACAACTTTGAAGCTTCAAATTAATCGCGCACCTTTGTTGTCTAACAAAGAACAGCTAACACTCAACTCGACTTGACATCACGTAGGTGAAAATTTCTTTCTAGTAAAGTAAACCTGTTTTCCCATTAAATCGTCAAATCTTTATTTCCGAATTATTGATTTTATTAAAACAGACTTAAAGTCAAGCGTTCCTGCTCACCATTCCTGTAGAATGACGCGAACAGGCACACGCTCAGCAGGAACCCAGCCCTTTTAAACGACCTATGCGCAGTTTCAATAGGCGGCTGTTATTGTGACAGCGTTATGTATATGATGCATGACTTGGACCGGCACAATGATCAGACGTAAGCCGACTTTGACATCTATGCTACAGCCATATAGCAGCCCTATATTGTTAAGCAACTTCGCTTCGCATATCCGATCATCAGTATGAGTTAAAGCTTTCACGTTAGCGTTCTTTTAGTTCTTAGACTTCGTGCTCTTTCGCAAAAAGCCTCACGAGTGCCGGTCCTATCACTTATTCGTCAGCGATTGTCAGGTAGTGATTGGCACGATAGGTATCCCCCGATTTGACATAATCGTCAGATGTTATGCCGACCTTTCACGATGCTCATCCAAAGTCGACACGCATTTACCAATGGTGGTGACACATCTGCTTGAGTAACATAACATTATACGATATTATCAGTTTTGTTGTCGTCAGTCTAGTCCGCGCAACTGAAACAAGTCGTTGGCACGAGAGTATCCGAAGAAAGTAGGGAGTTATAACGTGTCCACGAAAAGCCCCATGGAACACCTTGGATATGAAACGTATCCGCACTTTATTTTAATTAATTAAGAATGAATCCGGATGAATCTAAGTCGAGTTCTTTACGATGGTAATAGTAACGTAAATAAATATTGCAGCTTGTCTCATTCTACCTATTAGCTAGTTTGAAGGAACACCCAAGAGTGGATATCTTTCCTTGAGTATAAATTAAAGCATCTATATTATGCTTCTTCAGATACTATTTGATATTATAGAGTTTTACTTTGGAGTCGTGACAGTATTGGTTATTTTTCATAGGAAAAGTGTCTAGAAAAAGGGTAAATTCATTTGGCGCAGTCCCACTTCCATTCGGATCGTCGTCTGTCGTTAGAATTATTAATTAGAGTGTCTCAATGATAGTAGAAAATTTAAGTGTGAAATAAAATCTAGTCATTTTTATTTTAGGAACAGAATTTTGATTCGTTGTAAATTAGATATGTGATAATTATTTGTCTGTAGAACGGCGGTGGAAAACATCCTTGGTGATACATGACGTTGTTCTGATAACATCTTCAGTTGTCGTTTGGCATCGTTGTGGGTAGAGACCAGTGCTTCTATACTTCCTCCTTCAAGCTTTGGGTGTTCGTGGGTCTGTTGACACGAATTTCTATTTCAAAAAGCCTATAGAAAAGAGTCCAAATATGTTAAATAACAGAACCTGGGAGAAAATTTTTGGAGCCCGAACGGGAGATTACATGACAGGCGAACGTCTCGTGCAATAATGTCATTGACTCATATGATCTGGGTGACCATTCGTTCTAGATGTCTATACAATAAAAGCTAGGCTATCAGGTGCCGATAGTGCTCACTGGTGGCCGTTGTTGCATCTTCCGCAGTGTCTTTAAAGAAAAATAATCCAATAACGCCTTAGGCCAAAAATCTGCACCAAATAGTGGCAAGATGAATCCTTCTCTCATAAAGTGCATACAGATTTTTATTAGTCCAAATACGACAATGTTGATCGTTTACGAAGTTATCAGTAAGGATCCGGGAAAAAGACTTTGCTGGAGATTCACTGATTTCCATTTCTATTACCCAATTACCATGCCGCTTTGTTGTGCGTCATGTGCTTGTTATGGATTATTTTCCGTGATCATAGCCTTACAAACGTAAATACATTCCGTGAAGATTCGTTTTTTGAACTTTTCTGTAAATGTATGTTTGAGCATGATACCGAACGAATGATTACGGCGACAGTCTGGCGAACAGTCTTGATGTCTTCAATGGAACGGTCTGGACGGACACGTGTCGATGATTCATCGCGGATTTTAGGCTGGAGATATCACTAGGTAATTTCTCTTTAAAGACGTTGCAAGAAATCAATGATGAACGGCTTCGGGCTGACCAATACCATTCGCCACGGAAAAAGAGAACTACAGTTAATGCATTTGGGGCATTTCGTCTATGAAAAATTAGACAAAATTTGCAGAAGTGCGAGAATAAAAACGTGTTACAGTGCTAAAGAGCGATCTGGTTTTATACTGGCAGACCAATCACCAGTGAACTGTCGTAGTGGCTTACTTGTTGGAGCACAACAGCAGAAATGGCGCCAAATTCA